AGTATGCTAGCTAGAGCATCCAACTCAGCTCCTGGCAACTAGTGACGTCAGTGAGATGGGCGGGAAGCCACACAGAGCGTCACAGGTTGCTAAGAGCTCTTAGCAACCTGGGACACTGTGGTCCCCCTGCCGCCCCCACCATGCAGGATCCAAAATAATCAATCAATGCACATTTTTTAAAATCAATGTAGGCACATTTATTAACTGTTTGCTGTCCGCCCACTGTAATGGAACAGACAGACGACCAAAAGCTTCGGGTGGGTAGACGTACATGTACAATCCCTCAAAAAGTTTAAACAGCCGATACTGGCTGTTCCATACAAGCATTCGGGTGGCTGTAGCGCTTGCATGGTGCCACCCCGCCCCTCTACTTAGTTATCCCGGGCTCCGCTGTCCCCCGTGCTGACCTGAGACCGGCACAGTGGCTGCCTATACTGTAATCAGAAAAGAGATCAGCATTCTCCCACTTGCTGAACTCTCCTCCAATCTCTGATGGTGGAAGTGATGTGTATTACATCACTTCTGCCTTCACCTGTCATTTCTCTGGCTGCTATAGCCAGAGAAGAAGCTGCTGAGCTGCTGAAGCAGATTTCTGCTTCATCAGCTTCTTTGGAGATGCCTAGGTGACATTAGGGTTCTTAGAGACCCCTCATGTCTCCATAAAGAGGACCTGTCATTGGGGGCAATCACATAGCGGGCTTCTTAGTCCCCTATGTGATAGCAGTAAAGTTAGGTGTAAAAAAAAAAAAAGCTTTAAAAAAAAAAAATGTTAAGTCACCCTCCCCGCGTGCACGCACATATAAATGTAAATACACGTCAGGTGCACCTATGTTCAAAAACGATTACGCCACAGATGTTACATATCACCATGAACGTCAGAGTGCGAGCAATAATTGTAGAGCCATTAATCACTGGTAACACTAAACAGATGAGTGGTAAAAGCTTTTAAAGCATCATCTATGGCCAATTTAAGTATGGCAGTTTTTTGCAGTTTCGCAGGCGCGTGCAATTTTAAAGCTTGACATGTTTGGTTCTATTTACCTGACGTGATCCCATCTTTTATATTTAACCAAAAATTTGGGTAATAAATGTGTGATAACAGAACGTGGGGAAAACAATTTTTCCCCCAAAACTTTCAGTAATTTTTCATTATATAATAAAAACAAAAACCCCAGTGGTGATTAAATACCACCAAAAGAAAACTCTATCTGTCCCAAAAAAATGATATAAAATTAATTTCAATACAGCGTTGCATGACGGAATAAATACAGTGCTGAATACTGTAAAATGGCCTGGACAGGAAGGGGGTTTAATACCCCTGTCTTCAAGTGTTTAATTGTTTGTGAAAAGGTGGACTATGCCTTGAAATTTTGCCTATGAATATGTTGCAAAACTGCCTGTTTTCAGTAATGTCTGCTATTCTTGATACAAGTGTCTCTTGTGAATAAAGTTTTAGCTTTCAATAGTCACAGGGGGGGTGTGTTTTGTGTCTACGTTGCAGCTGCAGAGTTTCATTGAGGAAGAATCAACAAAGAACAGCTCTGATCTCATGAATGTTTTCCACTGATTGGCATTCAGGTTTAGTATTTCCTGTTTTCACAGTTGATAATAGTATGTTGTGATTTTTCATTCAAAGTTAATAGTAATAAGAACGAGAAGGGTATTTTCACAGGAATTGGTACAAAGGTTTCATTATGTAATCTTCAGCAGAATGAATAGACTGTTTGTGTTATTCCTTTTGCATGACATTCAGTTCCTGGTTCACATTCATATGTTATTAAGGAAAAAATTATTATTGCTGAAAAAAAATGAATACAATTTATTTTCCAGAGAAGAGCTTGCTGAATGAATGTGCTCAGACAGTAAAGTGGTCACACATACTTGTTTTACCCTTTGATTATCTAAGCGGGCATTAACAGCCAACTGCAAAAGTCCTGCATTCAGAAGTATAACAATCCCTCGTATAATTTCTCTAAAGCATTCTCTAAACTGGCAAGCTATGCAGAGGGGCTCTTTCGATCAGCAGCGAAGTGAGGTTGTGCAGGAAAACATCACAATGTATCCCAATACACTCAGCATTCCCCATCATGAACCTCAAAAATACTTAACTAACCACAATATGCACCTTGTTACATTTAGCACACTGCAAAAAAATCCCAATCAAAATTCACACACTGTAGCATGTACTCCAATATACTCACCACTACTCATCATGTACCCAATTACACTCAACCCACTGAAGTGCATATGCACTATATTGCCAAAAATATTGGGACACCCCACCAAATCATTAGATTCGGGTGTTTCAATCACCTCCATGGCCACAGGTGTAAAAATCAAGCACCTAGGCATGCGGACTTCTTCTACAAACATTTGTGAAAGAATGGGTCGCTCTCAGGAGCTCAGTGAATTCAAGCGCGGTACTGTGATAGGTTGCCATCTGTGCAATAAGTCCATCCGTCAAATTTCCTTGCTACTAAATATTTCACGGTCAACTGTTAGTGGTATTATAACAAAGTGGAAGTGCATGCTGAAGCACATAGTGCGCAGAAGTCGCCAACTGTCTGCACAGTTAATAGCTACAGACCTCCAAACTGCGTGCGGCCTTCAGATTGGCACGACAACAGTGCGTAGAGAGCTTCATGGAATGGGTTTCCATGGCCGAGCAGCTACATCAATGCCTTACATCACCAAGTGCAATGCAAAGCGTTGGATGCAGTGGTGTAAAGCACGCCGCCACTGGACTCTAGAGAAGTGGAGACGTGTTCTCCTGAGTGACAAATCACGCTTCTCTGTCTGGCAATCCAATGGACGTGTCTGGGTTTGGCGGTTGCCAGGAGAACGGTACTTGCCTGACTGCATTGTGCCAAGTGTAAAGTTTGGTGGAGGGGGAATTATGGTGTGGGGTTGTTTTTCAGAGGTTGGGCTTGGCCCCTTAGTTCCAGTGAAGGGAACTCTTAGCCCTGGTTCACACATAGGCATTTTTGAGCAGTTCCAAAAGCACTTTTAACTGCCCAACACAAGAAATCCCATGATTTTCAATGGCCCTGAAACGCCTAGCAGGAAAACGCCAGATGCCTGAAAAGATACAGGAGCTTCTTTGTGCAGTTAAAAGCGCTTTTCCTCCACATAGACTTAATTGGAAATGGCCAAAAACGCACAACAGAAGCATGTTGCACATTTTAGTGGGCCAATTCAACATTCAACCCTATGGACTAAGACTGGGATGCCCATTAAAGTTCATGTGCATGTAAAGGCAGGCGTCCCAATACTTTTGGCAATATAGTGTATCACATACACTCAGCAATCCATACCATGCATCTTGTTACTCTCAGAACTCTGCTGCATCCACCCTATTACACTCAATACACTACAGCAGTGATTCTCAACCTGTTTATCCTCGGGACCCACATTTGTCCCTGGTCATTAGGTCGTGACCCAAGTTGCATCGCACTGCAACGCACAGCATTCAGTGATCGAACTGGGCGGGAGGTGCATTTGGAATGTCATTAAAATGGCACCTCGCGCACCAGAACATAGGTGCTATTGAGTGCGTTAATCGCATGGGATTGTGCGATTATAGCACTGTACTAGTGTGAACGGGTCCTCCACAAACACTGACAGACACACACATTCACAGACATTCTCACACACACACTGGCGGACCTAAGGAAATGTTCTCAGCTTCCCCCTTCTCGCTCCCAAGGGGTGGCCCCCCGAAGCGTATAACACTGGCCCCCCCAACCCTTCTGACGGTCTCTGCACCAAAGAAGCTTACACTCTAATGTCCTCCCACAGTCACACACTATTATTAAACATTTATATATCTCTGACATATACCGCAGTGCTGTACAGAGATCACTGAGCCAGTCACATCAGTCTCTGAACAAAGGAGCTTACACTCTAATGCAGAATGGCATCAGCTGTGGAGGGACTACAAATCCCAGCAATACATTATACAGCAATGCAGAATAGTATATAAATTGGACTTAGGAACGCATTGGACTCTGGAACGCACTGAACTCGGGACTCTGGAACGCACTGGACTCTGGAACGCTCTGGACTGCAACATTTCATCCAAAACTGGGATAGAGAAATAGGTTATAATATGAAACATTAGTGCAATGTTCCCTATTATAATCCATTTTTCTAAGTAAAAAAAATAACAGCACACTGTGTGCAGTTTCTT